GATTGGTCAAGTCGCTCTACAACAGAATAGAAACATCACCCTCTCGGCTTTACATACAAATATACATTATAGTACAGTTACGAGATTTGCGTATTCATTCAAAATTCACTAATAAAATGGCATTAAAATATGGTATACTTATTAGATCAATTCTTAATATTAAATGTATAGAAATAATAAAAATACATCATGCTCTTTGGCTTGCACGACGGAAAGTAACTAATTATAGCCCGCGCCAACGCACTAATCTCGTGTTAACGCTCTTCCAGATCCTGTGAGTGAGTAAGCTTATTGCTATTAACATAATGGAATTCATTGGCGCGGACTAAGGTATGATTCATAATAAAAAAATATTACTTATCAAAGAGATCAATTCAGCAGAACCGTAACAAAATATACGTCCGAATCCGATATACATACATGTGTATTTGTGATATGCAACTTTGTATCCACCAGGAAATTAAGAAAACGTAAATTAATTATTTCACAATGTTGTTTGAGCCACTTTTTAAACACACTAACCACAAAACATAAAACGCATTTTACAAAATTTGTTATAATAGCAACTTTAAACATTTTCAGTCTAATTTATATTTGATCATTTGGCAATATTGTTAAATTTCATAATTATATAATACTTAATATAGATTAAATAAAGTCGAATGAATCCAAAAGTATAATAATAGCGGCCATAGGAAGACTCAATGTAATTTTAATAACGGTTATTTGAGCCCATACAATCACTAATTAATATAATGTGTAGATTTAGAAGATCATGATTAATCTGCCATCACTAAATGTCAAACTCAGAATAGTTAAAAAGTAAAGGAACAGGAATACAAACTGGTATAATGGCACCTCGACATTCCACTTACGTTTAACATTAAATACATTAATATAAAATTATTTAACTAAGACCAAGGATAAATCTCAACGAGAAAACATTGGCTTGAAAATTCCGTTGGATTTGCCCTTAGCCTTACAGAGATTCGAGAAAACAATGCAGTATTATACAGTAATCTAATATCGGTATGAACGTTTGATATTTTTTACATCGTAGCCTTTGTAAAACCTCTTCATTTATATACAAAAATATACATAAATGTCCGGTTGTATCAGCAACACAAGTCTCTCTGTTTCGCGTGACAAATGTCGTCTTTATTAAAAGTTTCCCCTATTATCATGTACAAAAATAATTATTTTTATTGACCACGTCGCGTCGCCCACTGGCTGGCCGGCCGTGCGTGTGAATTTGAGCTCAGTGTCATACAGTGTTGGGTCTATTACGTTTTATCACATTGAGCAAATAATTATCTCTTATGAATTAAAAACGAAATTAGCGTGGGACCATCGATTTATTTACGCGGTTAACGTATGCGTTATACAAATTCGTTCTACATAACGATTTGATTGCACTATAAGTACATATACACTTTATACAAGATATGACATTATTTTGGGAAATGCAACGTCATTTTATGCGAGTACACAAATTAAAATGTTATAATTTGGAATGTGACGGTTACGCCTGAGATGTAAGTGACCTCGAACCTATACGCGTTTTGGTTTAACAATGAATATAATTTAAATATTAGACAACATTAAACACATTGTTTTGAGCCCAAAAGTAGCTAAAGCACTCGAGTAATAGAAATCAGAAACAATCAAAGTACCACAACCACCCATAATCGTGACAACAAAGGAAAGTTATTTTTTTCAATACGGTGTTGAGTAACCTGGACAACTCTGGCATATTTGCCTGTTATCCGTTGAACAAATGAAACTCTTTACAATTTGAAACAGGTTTTTTTATAAAAAGGAATATAATGTATGAAGATGATAAACTGTAGCAATTAAAACGTAAAAACCATACTAAATTTAAATGATAAATCTTACAAACACTAAGATAACAATATCATACATACATTAGCTAATAAATCGAAGCTATCTTGTCACGTTTCAACAATAATAGTGAATAACAATATCAAGTTTAACTAACCAAAACGCGTCAAAGATTGTAAACAAGGCAATAATAATCATGTTTGACCAACCTTTAAGTACTATACATCTGCAGGTATTTAGTCTCAAGGAAAACGAAGCCTCTTTAGATATATTGATAACGTAGGCATGCACTTTGTTTTGATATTTATATCCAGACTAATTTAGAGATCCGAGTTATATCAGTAAGCTACCTTTGCGTCTTCGTCCGATTTGCTCCATTGCCAGTACCCTTAGCACGAACCAATATCGAATTCGTAACGTTTACGATTCCGAAATGTCATTGTCAAAATTTAACACATTTAATGTGTACCGATTTTTAGTTCCGGTTACGTACTTTGTGGCGCTGCTGTTCAAGTTTCCATACAAAATTTGACATTGACATTTAGCACTCGCAAACCATTCGAATTTGATAATGGTTCGTGTTAGGGGTACAGAACAATTCACTCATTGTTTTTATGTAAAACAGAATGTTCTTGCTCAAGTAATGAATGAAATACATATTATGTTAATTTATATCTTTTGCATGGACATAAAATCAACAGCATTTAGAGAGTAACCTTATTCAAGCACAACCTTCAAAACTTTTCGTCGCTATAACACAAACATTGATATCTAAAGTGAGTAACTGCATCGCACTGTAAAAACGAAGCTTCTATGCGAAAGAAAAGCACAGATTGGCGGAAAAATGTCCAAGGACGCCTGTAAATTTGTCTACCACTATTTGATCACAAAAATAACAGACTAACCAAATTTGGACGAAGACGCAGTTAAGAGCTTCAAAACACAAAGTAGAATTGTTTTTAATAAAGGCCTTATATCCCACTGGAACTCCTAGATGTTGTGTTTCATATAGCAGGAGTATTCCAAGGAAAATTGACTTTATTCCTTATGTTAATAAGGTTCAAATATTCTATCTAGCATATAACCGTAAAAAAGAGACACTTGAATCTTATCAACATTAAAAAAAAGCTCAATTTACCATTACACAGACACTTAAGGAACAACTAACTGCCAAACGTCACCTGCCTCTCTAGCATGACGGCCGAAACGGGATATGATAAAGCGATATATCGTCATTAACTGTCAGACTACTATGGAGTTTGACAGTTAATGCCGATATATCGCCTTGTAACATGCACATAAATATGTACGAGAGTTTTTATTCGGTCGCGTCCCGACACCGGCCTTAATACGGACCGTAGGAAAATACACAGTCAGGTCATAAGTATTGTCACACAGTAAAAACTTTTAGAATGCTGGCCACAAAAAAGTTTATTGAATTCATGAAAATAAAAATGTGTACTTATTAGAATTTTACTTATTTTTAAATATGGAGTGGACGCTTAAAGAAGACCGTGTTGCAGTTATTGCGTTGCATCGTTGCAGTTACGCGCCAATGCAAATTGTTGACATACTGAAAATTTTGAATATAACCAAAAGATTCGTTTATCGTGCCATCAAACGATACAATGAAGACTCTAGTGTAAATGACAGGTCAAGAAGTGGCCGCCCTCGGTCTGTTAGGACTCTAGCAGTGATAAAAGCTGTGAAGGCGCGAATTCAAAGAAATCCCAAACGTAAGCAGAAACTGTTGGCCCTTCAGATGGGGTTAAGCAGGACCACGGTGAAAAGGGTGTTAAATGAAGACTTAGAGCTTCGGGCATATGGAAGAAAAACAGGACATCGTTTGAATGCTCGTCTAATGGACCAGAGACTGAAGAGATGCCGCGCTTTGTTGAAACGGAACGCGGGAAAAAATATCGAGAAATTCTTATTTCGGATGACAAAATTTTTACCGTAGAAGCTAAAACAAACAAAATGATAATAATAAAGGATACGCACACAGTAGTGAAGAAGCGAGCAACCGTATTCCGCGTGTCCAACGAGGTCATTTTCCATCCACGCTCATAGTATGGTTAAGAGTTTCTTATTGGGGCTTAACAGAGGTACATCTTTGTGAGAAAGATGTAAAAACGAATGCAGTTGTATATCAAAATACAGTCCTGACGAATCTTGTGGAACCTGTTTCTCATACCATGTTCAATAACAGGCACTGGGTATTCCAACAAGATTCGGCGCCAGCTCATAGAGCGAAGAGCACACAAGACTGGTTTTCGGCGCGTGAAATCGACTTCATCCGGCACGAAGACTGGCCTCCTCCAGTCCAGATTTCAGTCCGTTAGATTACCAGATATGGCAATTCTTGGAGGAAAAGGCGTGCTCAAAGCCTCATCCCAATTTGGAGTCACTCAAGACATCCTTGATTAAGGCAATCGCCGATATTGACATGGACCTCGTTCGTGCTGCGATAGACGACTGGCCACGCAGATTGAAGGCCTGTATTCAAAATCACGGAGGTCATTTTGAATAAACTTTATCGTCATAAGAATCTATGTTTTGTTAAGTTCATTTTGGTATATAAATGGTTACATAATGAAAAAACTTGTTTCAATTATTTTATATTAAACATGTGACAGAATTTATGACCTGACTAGATATATAGGCGTGGTAGATTGGCGTTTACAATGATGAATAAGTAGGTATTTTATGTCTGCTGGCATCCGATGCGGGTGTGTGACTATGAGCGAGTCGAGGATGCGTAGAATGATTGTGATCTGAAACGCGTCCGTTTGCGTTTTGTCGGGGCAACGGGAAGGCGCGGCGGCACAAGCGGTCGCAGGTGCGTCAGCGGGAGCGGTTATTGGCGCGGTCGCGTCCGGCCTCAATACGGACTCTAGTAGGAAGTGATCAAGTCCGTAGTGGGATACATGCGTAACGGATTGGCGTTTAAAACGATGAATAAGTAGGTATTTTATGTCCGCTTGCATCCGATGCTAGTGTGTGTCTGTGAGACAGGGGAGTGTAGTGATCGTGGTCTGCGACGCGACCGTTTACGTTCTGTCGGGGTGACGGGCGGTCGCGGCGGTACAAGCGGTCGCGGGTGCGTTAGCGGGAGCGGTTATTGGCGCGGTAGAGTCCGGCCTCAATACGTACTCAAGGAAGAGGGGCGCATGTCCATAGTGGGATATAGGCATGACGGATTGGCGTTAACAATGATGAATAAGTATGTTTTTTATATGTCCGCTTGCATCCGATGCGGGTGCGTGACTGTGAGCGAATCGGGGGAGTGTAGAGTGATCGTGGTCTGCGACGCGACCGTTTGCGTTCTGTCGGGGCGACGGGAGGGCGCGGCGGCACAAGCGGTCGCGGGCGCGTTAGCGGGAGCGGCTAGTGGCGCGGTCGCGTCCGGCCTCAATACATACCCTAATAAAAGGGGCACGCCGGGCGCCAAAGCGACTAACTCCAACTCGCCCGCACAGTACTCGTACTGTCAGACCTTTTGGGCGGGCCGCATCTCGTACGATTGCGGGTATGCGTTCGCGTATGGCTCGCGCCGGCCGCTCGGACCGGGTGGCGCTGACGCTGCAATTAAAAGATTCTATTGATAAAAATGTTTTGCTACTATCACTTACTACAACGGCTTTGTGTTATTCAATGTTGTTAAAATCACATGGGTGGTCAGATAAGAAGTGCAAGAGAAACAGATTTTGGCAGCTGATAACTTGACCGCGCTGCAAGTAAAACTCTGTGGTAAAGCTATAGCAAACTCTCCTACCATGAAATGACTATAGATATATTAATTTAGTAGAACTTTCCTGGTTGTGATGTCTTACCGTATCCCTTGTGGGGTCGCGCGCCGATGGACGAGACTACGAAAAGCTCGAGGTTCGCTTCCTTCTAACACAAGCTTCTTACTTTCCAAATTCTCACCGTTATCTTCGGGCATATAAGCGAGCGACGCGACGTACCCTTAGTATTTGCTCCGTGGCTACATCTTCCCAGCAGCTTTTCCCACTATTGCCAGTAGCTTGAACTGGCTGCTGCTGTAGGTAGTTTTATGTAATTATCTTATTAATTCCTAAATTCTCACCGTTATCTCGGGGCGTATAAGCGAGTGTCGCGGCGTATCTCTTGTGCAGTCGCGCGCTACGATGCCCGGGCGTTGAGGAACTCGAGGCTCGCGTCCTTCTAATACAAGCTTCTTACTTTCCAAATTCTCACCGTTATCTTTGGGCATATAAGCGAGCGACGCGACGTACCCTTATTATTTGCTCCGTGGCTACATCTTCCCAGCAGCTTTCCCCACTATTACCAGAAGCTGGAACTGGCTGATGCTGTAGGTAGTTATATCTAATTATCTTATTAATTCCTAAATTCACACCGTTATCTCGGGGCGTATAAGCGAGCGGCGCGGCGTATCCTTTATGCGGTCGCGCGCGCCGATGCCCGGGGCGGGGAGGAGCTCGAGCTTCTCTTCCGTGAGCGGCAGGATGACGCATGCGGCGTAATGTGTTCATCGGACGACGTAGCGTTTCTGACAACCGCCTGCGAATAGATTTTTTCTTAAATAAATATTTCCAACACTCATACCAATTAGCCTAGCCCCAAAGTAAGCACTGTAAGTTTAGTGGATACTAGGGTAACGGATGGAATACATATATAAGTATATTCATATAGAAATACATATTAAACATCCATGAATGGAGTACAAATGCTCGTATTAATCACACAAACATCTGCCCCCATCGGAATTCGAACCCGGGAACTCTCGAGTCGGCGACACCATGAAATCCGGCGTATAAACCACTCGGCCACGGAGGTCTTCAAAGTAACTAGTTATCAAAGCAACTGGTACAGTCGCTTGTTCTAAAGTACTTTGGACATTAAATAAAACAAGTTTCAACGGTATAGATGCAACGATTTATTTATTTATTGACGATTCGCATCCTTTTCAGGAATTGCGTCGTCTGAACTGCGAAACGTCAATAAAGAAATAAATCAGTGCATCTATACCGTTGAAACTTGTTTTATTTAATGAGTGGTGTGTGTGAAAACCTAAGAAACAAATATACTTTGGACATGTCTCTAGGCGAAACCACGACTCCAAAGAACGCCTTGTGGTGCAAGGAAAAAATCGCCCGGAAAGTGGCAGGTACCAGATCAAGTGGCAGGTCACCTATGACATGGACTGACCAAATGAAATCAGTAATTGGAGGCCCTATTAATGAACAAAGTCAAAGTGAAAATATCTTTATTCATTGAGTGTGTGACGTCACACGACTGTCATTAAAACGTCAAACGATACGATGTAATGTCACTTTGGCCGGAAGTTTACTAGCGTGTGACGTCATTATAGTCTTGACCAATCCCAGGCGTTTTCGGCCACGTGATCATGAAGCAAAAAATCATTTCTATTTAATGATTTGATAGAAAACTTATTAACTATATGTTCTTGCAGAATAGTAAAAACCCAGCTAATATTCATATAGAATACGGATGGAAACAATCGGTACATTATTTATCATACTGTCAAATAGACTATTATCAGGCAAGCGGTCGCATAGCGCTAGAGGATGTGGGTTCGTAGCTACTATAAACTGCCAATTGCCACCTGCTTTAACAATGAAGTCAGTTACTCTAATTACCTGGCTGGCGGCCTCTTGGGATTGGAGGAAGGCGTATGCACGGCGCAACACTTGACGAAGGCGCCGCAGCACACGATTAGCAGCACTCCGCCTACTAGCACCAACCACCATTGTTCCGTCACCCACGCCTGCACTGATTGCAGTGTGGCACGGTTTAGGAGGAGATTCTTGAGCCGAGCCAAGGGACCTTCCGCATCTACCGCTCGACATTTCAGGAACACGTCGCAGTAACCCTGCGGATAAAATGACATGAATGGTTTAATTTCCATTTCTTTATGATTTTAATAATAATGCTATTGGAAGAACTTGATATATTAGAAGAACGAATTATAATGTGTACTTTTAATAGCAGTTCAATACGTGATGATTCTCTTTCGCAAGATAAATTTTGCTTCCGTTATTGTAAACTGAGTATGGTACCAGTACGTTTTTACGCATTTTCAACAATAATGTTTAATACGTTCGTCGGCACAAGCTACCGGTACATTAAAGTATATCGATTAAATTTAATTTAAAAAAATACCACCTTCGACCGGATACTCACTGCTGAAGAACAGGCCTTCCGTATGGATGGAGTAAGGAGATTGGGCTATAGCTAGCACCTGGAAGTTGTCGCTGGGCGAGCCGAGCCGACCTTGTGCGCGGCCTATCCGCCCACCAAGCTACCCTCCCACCTACCCACTTAGCTACTCTCCCAGGCGCCAACCAGGAAGTTGTCGCAGGGCGGGAGGCCCACTATGTGCGCGAACTCTGTCGTGCTCTGGCACGAGTCAGCTCCCGATCCCATCTGGCACGCCCACCTGGAAGTTGTCGCAGGCCGAGCTGGGCCGCAGTGCGATGTCGCCGAGTGGGAGGCCCACTTTGTGCACGAACTCCGTCGTGCTCTGGCACGAGTTAGGTCCCGGCCCCGCCTGGCACGCCGCCTGGTTACCCACCTGGAAGTTGTCGCAGGGCGAGCCAGGCCGCAGCGCGATGCCCCCTTTTGGGAGGCCCACTTTATCCGCTAATTCCACCGTGCTCTGGCACGAGTCAGGTCCCGGCCCCGTCTGGCACGCCCACCTAGCTACCCGTCCAGCTATCCACCTGGAAGTTGTCGCAGGCCAAGCCGGGCTGCATTGTAATGTCGCCGAGTGGGAGGTCCACTTTGTGCACGAACTCCGTCAGCACCTGACCCCGTCTGGCACGCCCACCTAGCTACCCGGCCGGTTACCCACCTGGAAGTTGTCGCATGGCGAGCCAGGTCGCAGCGCGATGCCCCCTTTCGGGAGGCCCACTTTGTCCGCGAACTCCGCCGTGCTCTGGCACGAGTCAGGTCCTGGCCCCGTCTGGCACGCCAGCTGGCAGAGAGCCCGCCGGTCCGCCACCGCAACCACAACGTCGCCTACACGCGTCGGCGCCGATGAAAGGAAGCACTCTTTCATATTCCACGCGAGGCATATCGAGCCGCTGCACTCGCCACCGATGCACAGCTGCGTGCCTGTGTACGAGAAACGAGATCTTGTTGTAGTAATTAAAGTATTAAAGTGCGTCCAACGGTAGACGTAAAAATACGATCCTGATAGGTCGTGTCAGTTCGTTATGTAAACGGAAAAAAGTTAACTTTCGGTCTAGTAAAAAAAAGTCCAACAACAAACTCTAATGGGTAAGTAAACGCAATGCTCATTACAGATGACGCTTTGGCCGTTTGGCCCATAACAAGCAACCTGTTAGGCTGTGTTCTCAACCTTCGCTCTGAGTGCAACTCTTTACTCTGATGTTTAAATTTTGAAATAAAATATATGAAACTTAGGTCAAATTTAGCATTTGTTGCACCTGGAGCATAGGTTTAGATTAGAACGCAGCCCAAGTCTATCGGAATTCGTCGGTCCTTGTGACTTCCGCGGCTGACAGCTGTCTCGATTTATTATGCGTTGTTATGGACCATTCGTCACCTGCGCCTCTGGCGGGATAAATTGGTAGATTTCTTCTGAATTCTATCGCAATAAGAAACTAACATAATCTAATAGGATGGCATTCTTTCGTTGGCCGCACTGCGGAATGAAGTACTTATAGTGCGATTCAAATTTCATATCGGCTGTAAAGTTAGCGCAACGCGTTGCGCATTAAACAAAATATGGGTCGTTCGGGGCTTTACTTAACTGAAACCGGCGCAGGGTTGCTCTCACTGCTACCTTAACAGCCACCATGAAGTTTGAATAACACTATAAGCATGCTCGATTCGCAACAGGTATAAAACAGAGCACTAACACATTAATCAACCGACCCACAGTTACTGATTGAATATGTCGACATGAATTTAAAACCTTACTGCTGTTTTCTTACAATGTTAATGGTGTCGATTCTGGAATGATTATCTAAACTTAATACTTAGTTTAACATCAGTCTCTCCTTTTTATTCTGTATAGTGAAAAAAAACGAAACACTGTTGTCAAATTCAAGTTACTGTTTAGTAAATCATGGCAAAATCGACCCAATAAGTACATAAAAGACCCAAAGTTATAGTCTACTTATATGTAAGAAAACATATCTCATAAAACCAATTTGATTCCACAGACAAGAACGATCTCAAAAAAATACTGCCAATGTTAAATGAATTCTTACCATTATTGCATTTGGTGTGATTCGGCATAGCCCTGGGTTCTGGACATTCCGCAGAAGCGCCCGAACAGAACGAAGCGTGGCTGCATTCAGACGCTTCGCGGCAAGTCTGGTTCGCGCGCGAGTGCACGAACTGACATGACGAATGGCAGCATGGCCCTTGTGATGGACTGAGAACAAGAAACATTATATGTTGACCCGACTTCTTAATAATATTCGTGCCACATTTGAAGTAAATCCATGCAGTACTTTTTGAGTTTATCCCAGACATACATACAGACAAACAGACAAAAATTCTAAAAACTATTTTTGGCTTCAGTATCGATTGAAGATCACACCCCCATTATTCTTTTAAAAAAATATTCAATGTACAGTTTTGACTTTCCTACCATTTTATTATATGTATAGATACGATGTTATAAGCTCAATGACGCAAACGATTAGCGTGTTCGGCATCGGGGTCATTTGATGGTCGAGCTCCTCTGTGCTTCGGAAGGCACGTTAAGCTGTTGGTCCCGGCTGCGACTGCAGTCGTTAGCACCTACCAATCCGCACTGGGCCCACGTGGCGGGTCATGGCATGGCCCAATCTCCTTATTCAATCCATATGTAAGGCCTGTGCCCCAGGCCCAGCAGTGGGGAAATAAGTAAGGCTGATGATGATGATGTACGGTGTTATTAAAAAAACTAATCTTGAGGTAACGTATTTATAAAGCATAATAAAGAAATAACCCTTTAAATTATCGAAAATGTCGACGTTTAACATTCTCAGACTTATTACAAAACGTGGATTAAAGTTAGACTCGGTTAAAAGCTAATGCTGTTTCTGTCTTCTTTATTTATAGCAAACAAAGTTGATAACATTATTTTAGATCGGCTTTAACTGTAGTCTGCGTTTTGTAATAAGGTGGTCTGTCTCTTATCGTAACTATGTAATATTAATTACCTGCATTGAGTATTGGCTTTCCTTGTGCAGCCTTTGGCAGTAATGTTCTTTTCCTTGTCGTATGATGAGATTTGTCGCGGGTAACAACATTGATCGTTGCATTCATTGTCGTCATATCCTGGACAGAAAGAGGTATTGTAAACTAAATGTCTAGGAAAATAATGTGCTCATGAAACTACAAACAGCTGAAAGCCGATGCAATGAACCAGTTAAATTAATAGTGGTCGTAGTAGTTTCAGTTTTCGATAAGGCTCAACACATCCAGCACCGTTTGCGACCGAAGCACGTAGAGAAACGATTGTTGTTCGGCCGATCGCTGGAAATGGCCGACGCGAACATTATGTTTCAGCAAATATAATCCACTCACCACAATCACATTCCTCGCTAACTTACACAATCTTAGATTGGATTTCTTCAGTGACGGCTCCTTCAGGGTTTGACCATAATCTGGTGTTTGTCCAAAGTGACCGCAGAATCCGCCAGAGCTGGCGGTGAGACAGTTCCGTTTGCGACCGTCGCGCATAGCGTCGAGCACGGCGCTGATGTTGCCGACGGAGCACGACGAGAACCGACTGTTGTTCGGCCGATCGCCGGAAGTAGCCGACGCGAATATTATCTATGTTACAACAAATATATTCCACTCACCACAATCACATTCCTCGCCAACCTCCACTATCTTGTTCCCACAGAATGCGCCTGCGCTGGCGGTGAGGCAATTCCGTTTGCGACCGTCGCGCACAGCGTCGAGCACGGCGCTGATGTTGCCGACGGAGCACGACGAGAATCGACTGTTGTTCGGCCGATCGCCGGAAGTGGCCGACGCGAACATTATGTAGTTGCCCGCTGCGCCGCCAGGCCGGCATTCGGATGGGTAGTCGTGCTGTCAGCGAATATAAATTCTTAGGTGAATGAATATACATATGGATGATATCTATGATATATGTCTCAGATGGCCGATGGATGTGGTCAGCTCAGTAATGAGCGTCGCATGAACAATAGACGAATCGATACATCGAGTGGACTGATAGTACCCTGTTAAAATATAAAACTGGGCAGTCAAGTGTGCGAAAGATCCAGCGATCTTGCGGGTCAATAGCTCGTACTAAGTATGGGAAAGTATTGGCTGCACCATCGCTTTTTCTCTTTCTAGAGATTTGTCAATACCATGCAAGTGTCACTGAGTCCATATAGGAGCGCATAAACGCAATAACATTCGCTTACGAAACCAACCAAAAACAAATTACGTTTCCCTTATAATCAAAGGCCTTCCCGCAGGCTAATTATGCTAATTGCAATATTTGAACGTCGAATTTATCCCGATTTTAATTTATGTGGAGTAGGCCCTCAGAATTATTTAAAATCGCAAATAAGAAATTGATATTGCTATGATGAAACAATTTATGTTTCATTATGATAATGAAGATAATATAAATTTCCTTTAGAACCCTATTCGCAATTGTATTTTCTTTCAAAACAAAGAAAATACAATAAGGAGAACGGACGTGTCCTTTGAGAAGATAAATCATCATTTTACTCAAGTGAATGTAATCAGTACACCACAGGAATATAAATACCGTGATTGAAACACAAAATCAAAAACTTTCGCGAATTGTTAACCATTCTCAAAACAACCCGGTGCGGTGATAAGAAATTTCGTGGAACGAACGACGATCCAAGGATGGCTTCAGCGTGATTATTCTAATTATAAACAGAATCAGGAGGAAAACGGTCGTCAGAATGGTGTGGGGCAACGATTTTTGGCCTTTAATATCAAAAGCAAAATATGCCAGTTTTTAAACCATGTAGTCAAATTTTTAATATTTAAATAATTATTATCAAAACCGCTTACAAACTGTATTATTATCCTTTTTTAAATACGTTAAAGATTTGAGTGCGTTTGACCACAATTGCACATGATGTTAAAGCAACGATGTGGTAATATTTATATTTTAAAAGCATTTAACTGCTAGATGTTTAAATCTAAAGAAAATTTTACAAGAGATAAGTCCACGTGGACCATCCCCTGTTCCGTCCGGTCTACTGCCTGGCCCGCGTGGAATTTTCTTTGGTAAAAAATTACTTTGGGGTTAAACGATGTGGTCTAAGCTAGAGTACACTAACTGAAATAATGCTCATTTACTTCGCCTTGAAGGTCCCTATATTAAATGTATTGGGGAATACAGACGCAGGAAGTGAGTACAATTCCCTAGCGGTACGCATGATAAAGAAGGATGCGAATGATGAGGTGCGCAAGAAAGGTAATGTCAACCACGTACGGATGAAGACCCTGTCCACGTCTCTTGTCCGATAGTAAATTATTATACCTATACCTCTACGAAAAGTCAAGCAAGCTTTTTGTAAGAACTTTTGTAAATTACCAATTGGGAACATTCTTATCACTTTTTATATAATCTTTCAGAAATATACCTCTACGAAAAAGTCAAGCAATCACTTTTTATATAATATTTCAGGAATTATTTGTTAGTCTGTAAATAACAATATTTTTGGGTAAATACGTACCGGTGATCCGAAATTGTGACCGATTTCGTGCGCGAGAGTCAGCTGGCTGACCTTTGGCGGAACTCGGCTGTTGTAGTTGACGAATGTGATTATGCCGGTGTTGAGAGATCGCTTGGTGCTCTGATACATGCCCCCTATCGTCTCTGTGTACGTCTTGTACTTTTCGCATATGCCCCCCGAGGCACCACTCGCACTTGCCACCCACGCTAGACCTAAAGACGGAAAAAATTCAATTACGTAAGTTACGTAATTCACTTCACCCCATACATCTTTCGTAGAGTTGGAAAAACAAAAAAAGATGCTATAAAATGAAAAGAAAAACAAATTTTTCTGTTTTATTTTATAATTGTCTATGAAATAAATTGCATTTATTACATTGTCGGAGCATCAAAACTCAGGAGAAACTTTTTATTCCCATAAACTTTTACAAAACTACCTAGTCGGGTATATAAATTCTGTCACATGTTTAATACAAAATAATTGAAAGAGGTTTATTCATTATGTAACCATTTATATACCAAAATGAACTTAACAAAACATAGATTCTTATAATAATAAAGTTTATTCAAAATGACCTCCGTGATTTTGAATACAGGCCTTCAATCTGCGCGGCCAGTCGTCTATCGCAGCACGATCGAGGTCCATGACAATATCGGCGGCTGCCTTAATCAAGGATAGACATCCGGAGTGACTCCAAATTGGGATGAGGCTTTGAGCACGCCTTTTCCTCCAAGTGTTGCCATATCTTGTAATCTAACGGACTCAAATCTGGACTGGAGGAGGGCGGGCCAGTCTTCGTGCCGAATGAAGTCGATTTCACGCGCCGCCAGCCGGTCTTGTGTGCTCTTCGCTCTATGAGCTGGCGCCGAATCTTGTTAGAATACCCAGTGCGTGTTATTGAACATGATATGAGAAACAGGTTTCACAAGGTTCGTCAGGACTGTATTTTGATACACAACTGCATTCGTTTTTACACCTTTCTCACAAAAATGTACCTCTGTTAAACCCCAATAAGAAACTCCCAACCATACCATGAGCGAGGATAAAAAATGACCTCGTTGGACACGCGGAATACAGTTGCTCGCTTCTTCACTACTGTGTGCGTATCCTCTATTATTATCATTTTGTTTGTTGTAGCTCTCTTCTACGGTAAAAATTTTTTCATCCGAAAAAAGAATTTTCTGATATTTTTTTCCCGCGTACCGCTTCAACAAAGCGCGGCATCTCTTCAGTCTCAGGTCCATTAGACGAGCATTCAAACGATGTCCTGTTTTTCTTTGATATGCCCGAAGCCCTAAGTCTTCATTTAACACTCTTTTCTCCGTGGTTCTGCTTAACCCCATCTGAAAGGCCAACAGTTTCTGCTTACGTTTGGGATTCCTTTGAATTCGCGCCTTCACAGCTTTTATCACTGCTGGAGTCCTAACAGACCGAGGGCGACCACTTCTTGACCTGTCATTTACACTAGAGTCTTCAATGTATCGTTTGATAACACGATAAATGAATCTTTTGGTTATATTCAAAATTTTCAGTATGTCAACAATTTGCATTGGCGCGTAACCGCAATGATGCAACGCAATAACTGCAACACGGTCTTCTTTAAGCGTCCACTCCATATTTAAAAATGAGTAAAATTCTAAAAAGTATACATTTTATTTTCATGAACAATTCAAAATTTGAATTCAATAAACTTTTTTGTGGCTAGCATTCTAAAAGAAAATTTTTACTGTGTGACAATACTTACTTACTTACCTGACTGTGTATTTTAAAAAGCTGCATCTTTGCATTCATACATAATACGCCAGTTCATCTCGATAGTTTTTTTGTGTGATTGATTAACAAACGTACAAACTTTCACATTTATAATATTAGTATGAAGAAGGATATTATATTATCAGTAGGAAATAGTAGGTTGGCTTCACTTAAATGAATGTCTAAGGCCTCTGTTTGTTAAAGGTAAATATCGTGGTCCTTTATTATTACGCAAGTATAGGTTTATAGGATACAGAAAGCTTTCCTAAGTATGGATATACCAGCGTGGGCGTACAGTACTGCGAAATCTGTCTGCGAGATACACTTGTATTGAAATTTGATAAGATTTAGTTGTTATGCTTCAGGGTATACTAACCTACTCTCTATAGTGAGATATTACCGAGCTATAGTATCCTTTTGTATAAAATGGATAACCCAACATTAGATATTAATTTCATCATCATCAACCTATTAATAGTCCCACTGCTGAGGCACAGGCATTCCCTATGGATGGGATAAGAAGAACGGACCTTAACCTTCCACCCAGGCTTAGTGCGCATGGGTGGGTGTTATAACGGTTTGTTGCTTAATATGGCTTTTAATAATAAATATTAAATACATGCTTATTTTAAAGATAAATAAGAGAAGAAAGATTTTTCTGTAACTAATTGGTGTAAATAAATAGTTTTTTTTTATAAATATTAACTGAGCTTTTTAAAGGTTCAAGTAAATTTCAAAGAACTCTTCATTACGCCATGATCGGTTGATACCTTCATGAGTTCCAAGGAAAAAAGTGTATTCGCAGTGAGACGGCCAATTAATATTCCAGTTCAAATAATAATGATCTCAGGTGTTGAACATATAGCTATATTATGTTCAATCCTTGCAGCGTTTCTTTCACACACACAGAATACTACACAATACTACTTGAAATAAAGAAATTTGATTATTATTTCTTTATTTCAAAAGAAATTTTGAAATAAAGAAATAATAAAAAGGGAATGAACCTAAATTTGCAGTCTGACTATATGATGTTGTTTGATGTCGAAGGAATAAGAAAAACCAGCTTATATATTATAATAAATAATATACCATAACCACCTTCGAGGGGGAAAGACACAACATTAAAAAACCATAACTACAGAACGACTTCAATAGAAGACAATGACACAATCCACAATCATGCATACTCATCAAAGAATTAATGAGTACCTACTACTGACCAACCGTGTTCAAATAGATAACCTATGAATTTATAAATATTATTTACGCTCGTGTCTAACCTACACCCAATTATTGGATTCCGTGTAAACTTATCCTTATGCAGCTGTTAATATAATATGGATGTGGATAATAATAACATTATCAATCACAGTTACTCAATATAATTCGGCAAGTCTGGATTACTTTATACCAATGTTACGAGTCTTCCAACGTGTCTGAATCCTTACTTCCTTACTAATATTATAAAGGCGAAAGTTTGTTTGGATGGATGTATGGATGGATGTTTGTTCCTCTTTCACGCAAAAACTACTAAACGGATTTTTAAGAAACTTTACAGTAATGTAGCTTATAGATCAGAATAACACATAGGCTATAATTTATAAAGATATTGTGTGAATTGTCCAAAATGTAACGATAAATGTCATTTAAGTCTGAAAAAAATCTGCAATCTGCGAGCTATTCAGGCGTGTGCTGCAAAAACAGTTAGTGCTAATGTATATAATGTATGGTGAAAATATTTATCTTAAATAGTCCTACAAAAAATTCTGCGACACCATATATATCTATCTTTTATGAGTAAGCCATTATTGTCAAAATAGTGAACCATAAATACAATAAAAATTGATAATTTATTTCTAATACGACCCAAAAATTATGTATGTTACAATTTTAATGTCATAATGTTAGTTCTTTTCACGCTAATATAAGCTACTCGAAATACTAATACTGCGCACACGAAGTCGCGGGCACCAGTTATTGATACATAAAGACCTTGCTTTTATTCGAATTACACGCAGACGAAGTCGCGGGCAAAAGCTAGTTAAATATAAAATACAAAAGCTTGAGTGTGTTTGTGTGGGTATGGGGCTCAGATCAAATAAAAAGTGTGAGGTAAATACTCTCCCTCAACAAGTGCCTTTTATAGAAATTCCAAAGAATATAGTAGTAATAAGATAATTAAAATTATCAAAAGCAAATAACAAAACGCTCTGAATCGTGTTTTCAATTTTAAGTTATGGGCATCATAAATATTCGATAAGATCTTTTTACTAATATAGTCTTATTCTTTGAAAATTTGCAACTTATCTAAAGTAATTAATTATTGTATTTCTCTTACAATCTAATTTTAGCCTAATATGTAGCAAAACCGTCTCGACATTCAAGTTAATATTATAAATCATCCGTGACGAGAAGGTAAATGAGAAAACTTTATTATAACGAAACCTAAACAGGTCAAGTGCGAGTCGGACTCGCGCAACGAGGGTTCCGTACACACTTTTTGGTATATTTAAGGTTTTCGCAATTTTTGCTTTATCTGTGCTTTATGTTTCGTACCAAATTTCAAGATTCTGAGTTCACGGGAAGTACCCTGTAGGTTTTGATTCCCTTGCGAGTTTCGAAAATTTGCGGCAAAAACGGCTGTATCTTTTGATTGCGTTGGCTTAGAAGTTTGTTTTTTTCACAGCTCCAAAGGACAGTAGACCTAAGTATTTGATATAAATATCAGCTTGATACCTCTACACGTTCCTGAGAAAAAGGGTCCTACAAGGGTTCCGTATTTTCCTTTCGAGGTACGGAACCATAAAAAGTAACATGCATAATGCGATGTTAAATTTATCTTATAGATGCTATAGCTAGCAGTGTATCGTAAAATATTGATCTTGCAATATTTAATCGTTTTCAATTGTTAACAACCACTCAGAATGCAGCGAATCAAACTAAAAGCGTTTCTAAAAAATTACGGAGCTTCGTCTGCGTCGTGTCGTCGCAAAATACAATAGCTGATATAAAGAAATTTAACAAAAGACTATCTAACCGTAGATTCGTTTATTATATAATTTCGAAATTGTAACGAACCATAAATAAGTAACGATTCTACGAAAGTATTTTCATTTGTAGAGGTCACTATTCATGTCACTAATGAAAAAAGATACGAAGTTTTGGTATTCCTCTAATATTAAGTCTTAACTCTCGATACTTTACCATGCAAAAAGTCATACCTTAACACAGGTTAAGAAATGTCTTACGGATGTCAGAATACTCAATTTCTTAAAATTGAGTGGTTATTCTTAAACGCAAAAGTTAAATGAATTATAATATGGCATACCTAGATACAGTGATTTTGTAGATACGCGTAATTGAAACTTAAGATTGTACTGCCTCTTCACAGTTCCCGAGTACGATATTTGATGCCGGCACTTCACTTGGCTATTCGTACTTACTATATGTAAACTTAACAACAGTCTGTCCTTATCATGCTTTATAAGGAATGAAAAGGACAGACATAAATGTCAAAATTACAAATAGCAAACACGAATAGCCAAGTGTAACACAAACAATACTAAAAGTATTGAGATGTAGTTCGTGGCTTTGGGAGAGAGATGGTAATACACTTATTTATCTCCTATGTCCTCCGCAAGAAACATTTATAGACCGCTGACATGAACAAAAACAAACAATTACATACAAAGAACCGACTTCATGTTTTACTACGACCATTTTTGTCGTTGCAAGATTATGCTGAGGTGGGGCCTAGTTGACGATGTACCTTTTGTTTTATGTTTGTTGTGAATTTATTGTAATTGTTATTGTATGTCGTCAATAAATATTTTTCTTTCTTTCTTTCTTTCATGTTTTGTATTGTTTTTCAGTAGCTCACAGTAATAGATTAGTTCGTGAACTTAGTTAGATTTGTGCGTTGCAGTTTAGATTAGTAACGGCTAACGTTCGGCACCGCTGGTTTTGTTATGTCTAATCCACTTTTCGTAAGATTAATCGATTTTGTTTCGCAATGATATCTTTAGTTTTGATTGAAATTGGATTGCAAAGTTTATAATGAACTACCTACACGATTATCTGAAGTCGGTCAACCGGCCAAGTGGTGTTTTATATTGAAAATGTTGTTAAATAGAATTTTGATATGATCAGCGTTAATGTCGATGAAATATTATTCATAATCCTAGTGTCTTTAGTTCTTATGGCGGCAGCGACCTTTCGTTATAAATAACCACTATTATCTTAGGGCTAAATTATCCAATCCATATAAAAAAACTTTGTGCAACAAAACATAAGAAAAAAAATGTCTAATAACATAAATATCAGAACATACCGAGCGTGCCTCCTGTGAAGTCTCTGTATGTGAACACGTAGGCGAGGCAGAAGTCCTCGTGGTTGCCCAGCGAGTGAAGGTTCAGGAAGTTGGACACGTCTATGTTCTCCAAGCAAAACTGGTTAGTTTCTGTGGCGAAGTGATGCATGTTGCAACTGGAGTCGTCGTCGATCTATGTAGGTATATGAACAATTCAATGATAAAAAAATAGAACAGACTTCAATAAAACTGATAATTAAAAAATAAGATTTACCGATTGTGTGCGGGACAGAAAGGAATTTGGACTTATGATTTTGTTGACTTCGATAGCTTTTAGAGCAGCGTCGGTCTGTATGTATTTCCGTAAGTTTCCCGGATGTTGTGGGAATGTGATCTTGAGTTAGGCCTCGCTGTCCTTCACGTGTAATCTTGTGATTTCTTTTGTGCTAGTTGACCAACTATCGCGCGAATCTAGTAAATTTGGATCGGGGCTTTTCCGAAGTCGACCGATCGCTATGGCGGCGTAGTTGTAACAGGCAGCTGACAGATACTGCCTGTCTACCCTCGTTTTACAATAAAAAATCGTAGAAGGGATAGGTAAAGGTGTCGAGCGGATGTAATGTTTTCATATCTAACGCATTCAATATTTATGAAATCGAACAGACTGATATATTTTAAGTCAATACCATTATCATGATCTCCCTGCTGAAAACATAGCTTGCTATTTTCTTGAAATATATTAGTCGCCAAAACTTATTTTTTAATTATTAGTTTTTTGGGGTTTGTTCTATTTTTTTTAAATTATTTTATTTTACCATTTTAGTGTAATACAGAATACGGTACTGGTTGAAAATTTTACACGCATAGGTGAAGCCGTAGGACACTGCTTATTTTTATATATATAATTCTTCTGTGAGTGTGTATGTCACTGAACTTCTCTTAAACGACTGGACCGATTTTTTGTGTGTGTTCAAGGGGATCTGAGAATATATATATATATATATATATACTAGCTGACCCAGCGAACTTCGTACCGCCCTAAAAAAATAGGGGGTGTCCAGCGGACAAAATTGTGAATCTAAACCATTCTCAGATCCCCTTGAACACACAAAAAATTTCATCAAAATCGGTCCAGTCGTTTAAGAGAAGTTCAGTGACATACACACTCACAGAAGAATTATATATATAAAGATATATATATATAATAACTAAATAGTAATATATATCTTTATATATATAATTCTTCTGTGAGTGTGTATGTCACTGAACTTCTCTTAAACGACTGGACCGATTTTGATGAAATTTTTTGTGTGTGTTCAAGGGGATCTGAGAATGGTTTAGATTCACAAAGACGTGTAGACAGGACAACGTCTGTCGGGTCCGCTAGTACCTATATAATGTACTCAAACCTTCCCTGATAAATATGCATTTATATACCGAAATCCCCAAAAATCGGATCAGTAGTTTTTGAGATAATCGCGGACAAACATACATACATAAAGGTTAAACAGAGAACATAATTTTTTAAAGTCTATTAAAAATACCACATTCCAAAAAGTAACTACATCACTAGTTACAGAAAGCATATTATAACTCGTGTCATTAAAGAAAGGAATTGAAAATGCTAACGCAAGACATGTTGTCTCTCTCGAACGTTTCTTAGGATAGCATGTGCGAGAGGGACATTTTCTATTAGTATCATCATTTGCGATTCCTTTTTTTAATGACACGAGTTATACAATGAAGGCAGTATTTTCGATATGGCCTCGACCGCAAATCGAACTCGAGACTTCTGATATGGAGACGTGAGCCAATAACAATAATGTTCAAGGAAAAAACATGTGTAAATTAACATGAAGTAAACCGATTTTTGCTGAATGTTCGGTTTTATTTCAAATACTTCCTTTGAAAACATAGTCAACTTAAAATTTATGCTTTTGTGTGTTTAAAAGAAGAAGATGCATTAAAAAGACATATATTAGTCACTTCATGAGATTTTACATTAACTTTAAATATTATTGCCTTAAATTTCAAATACTGTTTACACTTTTTTTATTCCTTTACTCAGATACTGAAGATTTCTCAGACTCAGAAGCTACCATGGCGCAACAATTTAATTTGCTAATAAATAGATAATCAATCACAATAAAGTCGTAATGAAAAGGAAGATTGATCACAGCGTGAATTCAAACCTATTAATGAAAAAATTGGCGGTGGATTGATTTAAAAATTTATTGCATCATAAATGATAAACTTATTTATAGTTTATCATAATAGCCAATTATGTTGTTTTGAATCGTGTATATATATATATGTTACTGGCAATCTGTATCGTACTGCATTTTATATAATACCTAAGCAATGTATACAATGCCTAAAACGTCAAGGCATGTTTTTTTTATAGATGGTGTCGGATCTATCTATAAAAAAAACACAAACAATTACTCCACCCCACCTCATGTTAAGTGAAGGTGAAGTCCAGACGTATGTCGTACGTATCCAGTAAAGACGTATGAAATTTTATAAAGTACCCATTGGACCCTCGAGCCGGCCGCTTACTTTGCTCGCTCGGCTCACGCTAAGTTTAGGTGACCTAACACTAACCTAACCCACTGTGAGTTGGTGAATTTAACGTTCGTTGACCTGTACTTTATTTGATGAGTCGGTCATTTTATATCAAGCTGGATAGGCTAAGTTAGATTTGGGGCGAAATATACATCAGTATACTGGCCAGTGGTAATGACGTTACGAATCCGACGCCATATTGTACTGGTATGCTACCATATTTTTACAGGGAAAACGAATATCACGTATGACCGAGCGTGCGTGAGATGCATTCGAATTTTATTTCTTTCTTATTTCAAGAACAACAATGGCATCCGAAGAAAAAGAATTCCTTTTAATCGATGAGGTGAATAAAAAATCTTCCTTATTCTCACTATTTTTAATATTTCGTCGATTTATGACGTCCGTGCACTGGCCAGTATATTTCGGAACAATTCACCAGTATAGCGTCGATGCATGACTAGGGATGCAAACGATAAATCGATGTTAGTAAAACATCGAGGTATCATCGGTCATAAACATCGATGTTTTGATGAGCGATTTATCGTCGATACATCATTCACTACATTTACAAACATCGACATCGTTCTTGCCTGTTCGGATTTTCGGAATCACTGTGACGTTCGCTCGCAATGCATTGTTCTGCTGATACGTAAAGCGTAGATAAATTTGAAAATATAATTTGATTCTTTGACTAAATACCTATACACATTTAAGATTTCTTGATTGGGTGAGTAATGTACTCGTTGAATTAATTTATAAAGTAGTTAGGTTTGATGGTTTGTTTTGTTTAAGGCTTTTGTTGGCGGGTACGTGAAAATTGAGCGTATAATTTTAAGATTAAAAAATGACAAAACGAATAGCTTGTTGATTAAAGCAGCTTGTGAACTGACAGTTCATATTAATTTGTTTATTTGCTTCATTGAATGATGAGAATCATTTTGTTATAAATTAATTTACCATCATGTAATTATTATTTTTATTAACCTTTAAGTATCGAGAGAGAGATACTTATACCGAATAGAGCGGTATTGTTAATTGTATCAATGAAGCATCCTATTAAAAATAAAAAAAACATCAATATATCGCTCTTATCAACGATATTTTTGAACATCGATGTTTTTCATGCAACCATCGATGTTTTTCAGAACGATGTTGCATCCCTATTCATGACGTCATTAGCACTAGTCAGTATACTGGTATATATTACGGAATACACCCTTTGTAAGGATAAATACAGGTCAAAATTAGTTTATTTTACACATTGCCGGTGAACTTGCAGATATAATATACAATCCCTCGGAATTGTGTACATTACCTAGGCAAAGTATAAAATGGAAAATAATATAATATACATTATATTTCAAAAATTGCCTGGACGTCCCAGGCATTCTATAGATTACATGAATAGCCTAGGTATTGTATAGAATACCTGAATTATACAGACAGCCGGTAACATATACACACTATAGTGTAATCAAAACATACATAAATTCAATTCAGCAATATTTGTAAGTAATATACAATTACATTACTAACAAATATTGGCAACATAGTGCTATTTTTATGCTGGCACTACATATGGCAATTAAAATAAAATAAAATACCTTTTTCTAAATTGATTTTCAAAAACTTTAGGCTTAATAAAATTGGTCAAACAAAAATACAATTGGCAATTATATTGCAGCTACACACAGCGAGGGGTTTTCGTGGATTGCAGTCTGTGGCAACATTTACTATATTCATTTCTAACCAAGTATTTGTTAATTAACTTGAAATTGTAACACAAAAATGAAAGTTACATTACATTAGTCTGCAAAAAGCGAGACTACGCATACATTTGTAGTATATTAATGCGTAGTTACTTAATTAATTTTCACCAAGTACTCAATTTTACAAATAATTCACTATACTGCAGTATATTTATAATAACTCGGCAATTTAGTTTGGGTCTGGGTGGAATAAACTATTTCAAGTAGATTCTGATTTCCCTAACGACCTAATTCCTAAATAATTAGTTAGCATTTAATTTAGGAATGGAGTTATTTTTCCTTAATGCTTTGTACAACAAATGAGTAAATACTATTTGTCACATGTTCTGAAATAGTGAAATTCAAACAAAAACCATAATTTCAGTGCTCGCTTCTTCATCCACTATAACATTCAAGCTTTTTGCGAATACCGTAATCGAATATAATCAGTTTCTATATTATTACACCTCTCTTACCTTAATCCTTTGAACTTCGAACTTTATGTTTCTGTGCTCCAAGTGACCGTCGAATTTTGTTCCTCGGTATATATAGTTGACGGCTGTGACGTGATGGGAAATTAAGGATAGGATTTCTTCGCGCGTCTTCATATCGACTTCAGTCTGCTTCGTTGGATCTCGATGCTATGAAAGAAATATTGATGATAAAGATACACCTTTAAAATGCGTATACTTACTTAATAACACATATAAGGTACTAAAATTGTTGACGTTTCTAAACCTTGTTGTTTCGGTTATCAGTGCATGCACTGAAATACTCAATAAAAACCGGCCAAGTGCGTGTCGTGCCACGCGCAGTGTAGAGTTCCGTAGTTGCCTGTAGTTACCATAATATATTTAAGCAGGAGTCTTTATTTCTATATCGGAAATTAGAAAAAACAATTAATATCAAACTATGTATCTCAACTAAAATACCTAAATCAAAGTCAAACTGCGTCTCAAACTCAAAATCAATTATATATAATTGTTTTTTTAATACGTATGATAACCGCCAATTTTTTTGGTTTCCCATTCAGCTCTCTAGTGCTAATAGTCTCCAAGCAAAACCGGGGAAGGTCAGAGGGACATGACGAAACTATAATGGTTCCTGGTCAGGACTACGGAACCATAAAAAGGGGATCACTTAAATAATCTTTTCTAAAAAAATATCAGAAAGAAATACCTAGTTCTACTATTTTAATGTACATTTATGCGTCAGTTTTCATGAGACAAGGATAAAATTTAACTGATTTGTACTTTTTTTTACAAGTGAATAAACACATCCTCGAAATATTTAAAGCTAAGGGAATCGTGGGAAACGAAATTGACAAATAATCCTTCTGTGCCACAAATGTACTGTCTGGCGGGCCATATGTCTTCGAACAACTCAACAAACATTTGCAGTCTAAAAAAACTGTTGCTTACTCGTTAGTAAGCACGTTTGCTTTCTTTATCTGTAACGGAAGGAAGGGAGGAAAGAATAATGGGTTTAATCTGCAAGTGCATCAAACACAGGAATTACACGAGCGTTTAAACCTCAGTTTGTATCGATTGGATGTATTGGAGGGCGGCGGCTACACGCACAATTGAAACAATCAGATCCAACTACTCCTTATTGACATTTGATTTGCCAATTAACTCTCGAGAGAACATGAAACGTTGGACACATAGTGGCATGTGTAAATAATTCAATGCACATATGCTCCTAATAGCTCCGAAATCGATCAATGAATTAACTATCACTCTTCTTACTAGAAACGGGTGGATATAAGTAAATTGAAATGGCATTATTAGTTATTCCTCCAAAATTTGTGGATAGAAAACATAAATACCTACGTAACTAAATAAACAACAATCATGTTCACGAAATTATACCTATTTATAAGCACAATGAGCACATTAAGATATAAAAAATAGTTAATTTTTCTTTTAATTTCCCCAATCAAACGGAAACCCTGTAGCGACCAAAATAAAGCTCAGAAATTTATCAGTTTTGGACAACTCGCTTTGTGGCTGTCTGTACTATACATTGGTTGTTATAAAACAATGGGAATGTGTAATGGCCATTTGAATTTTTATCTTTATTGTAACAATAGACACGCTGGTATTCATACTAATTTTTATATTCAATATATCCACTGCTAAAATTTATTAACTACAGGCAGTAAACAATAAGTTCGTTAGCATCCCTACTGTATCGACAATGTATAAGTAGTTTAACAAGAAAACTACGTGCAACAACACGAGAGAATAGCATTCATCCATTTAAACGCGAAGTTTACAAAACAGGTATTTTGAACTCGCTCAATAGGTACTAGAAATGCGATGGGAAAGCCCCACTTGAAAACGCTCTTCACTATTCCTATTCCGCCCTAGGGATTTCCCAGGCTGACTCAGTGTGTAACTAAGTATCAAGTTAGCTCATTGAAAATCTACTACAAGATCTCATTGTTTGTGTTATACTGACTCAAACAGATAAGCAGAAAAAAGCATGTGTTTGAATAACTTCAATGATGACTATCTGTTTTTTTTCTTCGTCTATCGGGTATAGATTATCAAAAAGCATTGCACCCGCATTTTTCATATTAACAAAACATTACAGATATATATTGATTTAAAATGTCACATGATGTCACGTCTTGATACAATTTTTACTTAAGACTTGACGTCACGAGCCCCCAATCTCAAACTTTAACGCGCTTTATATTTGTCATTTTAGTTATTTTTCGATAATCTAACTGGCAGATTAAATAGAATTTTGTTTACTCCGTCATCTTCCCTATTGTCATAGATCTTTCTATAACAATAAAAAAAGATAATTCTATGAAAAAGTTTTGTTTTATTTACAATAAACATCGTGCAATAGGGTTGTACCACTCTATATTACAGAGTTTTTTATTGGTAAAACAGAAAGAACAATCAATTTATCTTTACTGATTAACGTTATATTTACACCAATATTGATCCGATATCAATAAGATGAAAAAATATTATGAATAAAAATAGCCCTACCCGCAAAGTGAAGAGCAAACTGGACGCACGTAACTTCTTTTTAATAGTTTATCTAAAATATATTGTTATTAATTTCTTCAAGAACAAAATAAGGTGAAAATTATATCCACGTGTTTTATTTAATTCTGTCCCATGTCAAAAACAATATTTTAGAAAATCTTACACGCTTTCGGCCTACGAATACCGTATTCACGTACGAACCCTGTCAAATCAATCTAAGTGAGGTGAGGGTCTGACACTTCCTCGTAGTCAAATTCACTTAACTTTTTCTTATAATATGTAGTATCTGCACATAATGGAGTTTCAAGTCCTTCCCACCTAAAGAAGGTTTTGGGACAGCCAAAGGAGCGTACTTTTCATACAGACATCCGAAATCCTCTTCCTCTTTGAATATTTACAATACCACCCTTCTAACCAGCACTGTTCCGCCTACTTATATTTAATGCGGGTATTAACACTGAATTGCTAGGGAAACGTTGTTATTTGAAATAATCTAAAATTAACCTATACTAATATCATAAATAGGAAAGATATTACTGTTTGTTTGTTTGTATTGAATAGGCTCCGAAACTACTAGACCGATTTGAAAAAGTCTTTCACATTTATAATCCTACATTATCCCTGATGAACATAGGCTATTTTCAAAAAAGTTAATGCTCCGTATGAAAACTCAGATAATGTAACCCAACGTGTAAAAACAAATACTAAAAAACTACCTTGTATCGCGTACGCTGCGGAAGTCATAGACAATAGAGCAAAGTCACTCCTCACATAAGGTATAACAAATCTTACTACATTATCAATAAGTTAGTTTAGTACTCACATCGGGGAAACCCTCTCTGACGTGCCGCCATATGAGCGGATCCGTCTGTATGTAGAGGGAGCAGGTGTTGCGGTGGTCGATGGTCGCCCGCCTCGTCCGCGAGTGCTCGCCCGTATTGGCCGCCCTTGTATATTTGTTGGGAAACTCCCAGTGCCTGTAACAAACGAACTGCGTTAAACATCTAGGCCTGTTTACATATGTATACCGCCACTACTGTGGTCAAGCGTGACCTTCTGTACCTGTTCCATTTTCTTTACTTCTCCGTTCTCCGTACACTAACCGACTGAGCTGCCGTCCAAGTGACCAGCCAAAAGACCAACTCCTGTACCTAACCTTCACTTTTCGACTATGATTAGTCTCAATCAATGCGAACCAGCGATTATCACGTTCATAATCGACGATGGTCTACCTTGAAGCTGCGCTCAATTCACTCCCGGGACACTTTATCTGGCCCTAACCCATACAAATACAGATGAGACGACATCAAATGATGATATTCTATATAAGCAGCATTTGGTTGTTATTTCATAAGATATATTTCTAAACCTGATTTCGTTGGTACTGTATTAACAAGTCAATATTTAGAGAGGAAATCGGAGGCCAACAGAAATAACAATCAGAAATACTCTATATTTATGTTAGCAATAAGTGTTCAAGCACCTGTTCTTTCCCGTGTTAGCATTGCACTGAATTTATTAATTGCTTTTCTATTTTCGTCTACTTATAGCACTACAGTGTCAAGTTTTTAACTTTAATGAGTATATTTGATGTAATTAGGATGAAATTAAAGATTCTCCTTGAAACAAACTAAAGAAAGAAATTAAAGAATCTCCTTGAACTATATATCCTAAGGTAATTATATCAAAAAATCAGAACCGTTTTAGATGTACGTATATTAACTAGCACAAAGTGATTTATAATATATGTGCATTTAGTCATGTGCTATGGCTGCGAGCGAAGTGTATGTAAAAATTAACACGCTGCATTTAAACCTCAGGATAAAAAATGCTACTGAAGAAGAAATATGTACTTGCTTGAGACTCATCGTTCTATTAATGAAATAATTGTAATTTTGTCCGAATAGCTTTAGAATTTGTATAATCCTCTGTTTTCTGTTTCACTAATCATGGATTTCGCGTGTCACATGCCCCATATCGAAACTTTACCACATCCGTTATTTCAACGCACCTACTTGAAAACAAATGGCCATATTACGTTCTGTGTTGTCGGTATGATTTCTTGTTTCGTCTAAATAATATGCAATAACAACATGCGTTAACATGAAACTCGGTTAAGAAGTTCTGCCTTAACTGTTAAGGATCTCCACAGCTCTCTCACCAGAATATCTACTTATGACTACAGTTGATCACGGGAAAACACGATCACAGATCCCGAATCAATCATCGCGGTACCAGTAAGATATATTGTCAGCAAGCAGCAGTGAGCGCAGTCGCTATTCACCAATAACACTGACTCACTCTGGAGATAATATGTAGGCAGGCCAAACTCCTTTTTCCACGGGTGAACACCGACCTCTTCAAGACCCTCTTACAGCTAATAAGAACAATAATGCGCATGGAAACAGGTGCTATTACTGGACATGACGATTTAAAGACATCTTTTTAACATAGGTGTCACAGCTCCCTGTGCAGAGGATACATGAGGACAGAAGAAAAATCTTCTGACGCTCTGCTGGAATGCAACGGAATGCAAAATACCTCAGCTCACCGGGAAACCTCCAAGTGGCAATGCCCAATGTGAAGACGTTGGGGGTGTTCTTGCCTGAGCTGGGCTGGCTGGATTGATGATATCTATACGGCAGCAGAACTTATACCTGTATAAGGATGACGAGTTGCCGACAACAGCGCGAGTGAACCTTTTTGTATCGCAAGTGTCTATAGGCTGTGGTGGCCGTTTACCATAAGGCGGATCAGGCGCTTGTTTGTCACCCTTTTAAGATAAAAAAAACAACAAAGAAAAGAAGTTGCCTCACCTAGGCGGATCGTCCCTCAAACTGTTCGGGTGCGGCGGAGGGGCGGGATGCGCGGCTGTGGGTGGAGGGCCCGCCGCCGTGGTGGGTGGTTCGTCATCCACGCCCGAGTTCTGGATGCGCTCCATCCATTGCACCACCTCGTCGGTGATGCCGCAGCCGCCCACGTGACCTGCGTCGAAATATTCATTATTAGCCTATTGAGGTAAAGATGTTCCATATGGAATAAACCAGAATGAGAGAACGGGCCAAAGCCCAGCACGCATGCCCAGTGAAGATTGTTTGCAGATGCAGCTGAAAACTTGGGACAAATGGCTTAGCGCGATAGGAGCACGGAGGAACTTTCTTGCTTAAATAAAATAATAACAAATATACAATTTAAAGGTATTTAATTAAATGATCTGTTTAATTAACATAAACCGTAGCAGACATAATGCTAAAATTTCGCAGGATTGCGGAAACTTTTGATCTTAATGCCTCGAAATTCCTTTTGTTTTGTAAATATCCTTCTTTCTAATTCATAAAGAAAAATAACTTACTTGAATATATGTATAATCAGACGTTCAAATATCATCATAATATGATAGTAATTAATAAAACAATCTTCTGTCGCGTCTGTCCGGTAGCTGTTTTCAAACTACTCCGCGGATTTTTGATTCATCAGCTAGGTATTTTATTATATAGGAGTGTAGGTTTTTATTTATTTGTACAATACAAGCCCGAGAACAAAACCCAGTTAGCCTATACCGATGTTAAACGAGGTCGAGTTTCTAGGTACTACACAAAATTCTATTGCTACCTTCACAAAATTGCCGCAAGAAGCTTTAGGTCTAGGTCTAGCTGCTTCATTAATATCAAACTAAATTAAACCGATATGCTTTATCTATATTAACAAGTGATCACAAAACCAGCTTCATTAGTCAAATAGCGGCTGATATACGTAATAATGTAGCTTCAAATTAAATGAGCACTAATGAAGCGGTATTATAATATTTTACTTTCGTCGAGTGTGCACGGACGGATCCAATTATAGATGAGAAAAATATTATCACACTAATATTATAAAGGCGAAAGTTTGTGAGTGTGTATGTTTGTTACTTCTTCACGTCTAAATGACTGGAACGATTTTAACACATTTTGGTATGGAGTTAGCTGACACGCTGGATTAACACATAGGCTACGTTTTACTGCGGGAAAATATCCCTAATAAACCGCGGGTAACACCGTGAGGCACATCTAGTTGTATTATAATTACATTATCAGCGCATTAAGTATAGCCCAACAGTGTAAAATTTCGTATTTACAACTTTATTTAATTTATAAATAATTTAATATTTCATCAACAGCCTATTAATGTCTCCACTGAGGGCCATGCTTGTCTCACCACGCGGGCCCAATGCGGGTTGGTGGGTGTTAAAGACTGCAGATGCAGCCAGGACCAACGGCTTAACGTGCCTTTCGAAGCACGGAGGATCACCAGAAAGTATTTTTGGTCACCTATCCAATGACCCACTACTGCGAAAGTTGCTTTACTTTAACGATCGCAGCCGAACGCGTAAACCACTTGTGCCATTGAGCTCCCCTTATTTAATATTTCTTTATTAACTTATATTTATATGATATCCTTGTAAAGCTAATTAATTAATAGAAATAGCTACTAGATCTACCCTACTTGATTACGCAAGTTGTAACTACAATCCAGATCTTTAGGTACGACTTTTTCACTTATTAAATAGTTCAAAAAAAAACAGAAAAATTGGTTGGTTGGATAGTGTAAAACTTTTTGTTTGTATACTTACACAAAGCTATTATAAAAAGTAATAAGTAAATTTTATGCCCTGCCCTGCAGAGATAGACCGAACAAAAGCAGGGAGAGAAACTCTTGTTATTGCAGTGAGTCGAGAAAAAAGTACGCCAAAAGTAGGTACCTGGCTCATTAAGGCATCTTTCTAACTAAAACTTTATGACCAATGGCAGGAAGTTAATCAAAGGCGTGCGGTCGGACGCCTCGGCGTGTACTGAGTAGATATCTTGAAGAATTTTACTAGGAAAACTTCATAAATGTGAAAGAGACCAAATGTTGATTTTATTAGGTTTGTTAGTTTTCTTTTTGATGGTTTGGACATTTAGAGAGTATGGATGGAGAAAGATTTATGGACGGAATATATAGTCAGTCATAATACTTATTGCTTCATGTTGGTTACATTTAGTTCTAAGATCTAATTACAGCTCGCAAACATGAGCCCTGCAAGGGCATTACAAATACTGTTCAAAGTACATAAAAATTATCAATTTGAACAAATTGAATTTAAAATTAATTCCTATAATAATTTAATCAATTATAAAATACATTTAGGGTTAGGCCAAGAAATGTATGTCAAACCAAACAAAACATAAATAAAGTAATAATAACAATGAAATAAATAATTAAACAAATAATATGCTTGCTCCGTGCCATCCAGGCAGTACCTCCCTTGCTGCGGGCGCGGCGGCGGCCTCTTCCGAGTGCTCCAAGCGGCGCAAATATTCAGCTCTCAATGAGAACTACATATATGTGCCGTTTGGCGTTGAGACTATGGGACCAGGGGGTCCAAGCGCCCGTTCCTTTTTTAAGGAATTGTCAAAGAGACTCACCGAGGTGACAGGTGATCAAGAGGCTGGCAGCTACCTTGGTCAACGGGTTAGCCTTGCTATCCAACGTGGAAATGCTGCCAGCCTATTGGGCACCATTCCTGACGTCAGCGCGGGGGGTGATATTTTTTTTATTTTGTAGGTTGTATATTATTCAAGTAGTTAATTCTCTTTAAGTTTTTGGACTATAATTAGTTTTAAGCTTTTGTAATTTAAATAGTAATACGTAAATATAATTAACTTATACTATTATTTATTTCTTATAATTTAACAGATACGTATAATAATTGTTAACATTAATACTTGAATAAATAATCAATTTAAAATTTATTCTCATAATAATATTATAATTTAAATTTAATAATTTCGGTTTAGGTTATTAAATTTACGTCAGAAAACCAACTCAAATCAATTAGCAAATTAATTCAAATAATATAATTAAATTATTTAAATCAATAAAAAAAACATAATCACATATCATATTAAAGTCATACACAAAAATAAAATAAAATAAAAATTGGTATCATTTAACTTATAATGTATCATTAACAATAAAAACTATTCTAAATCGTAATAACACTTATCTATTAGAAATTGTTTTAAAATATTATTATAAATAAAATATAATGACCTACAAGGACTACATTAGTGAATTTCTGACGCAAAAAATTGCCTTTACATCACACACAGAGACGTCAATTAACTAACAAGTTTGATTAAAGTCCTTGCTGTCGGTCTCACTCGTGCTTTGCTATAACAATGATTTTTTTTATTCTTTATTAAGCCATACACCTTTACGGTTAAGCCGGCGATAACAATGGAATTAATCAAAGACTAAATTTGATTGCCGTTTCTGCACTAGCCATAGCCGTGAAGAAATATAAACCTAATAAAATTTTTCATACATTGTTGTGTAAACTAGAAAAATGCAGCCTAATACCTGTTCATAGTTGAAATTTTCTAGTGAAAATCTAGCGGTTTAAATCAATGGGATGAGGTGTAGTTGTGATTAATTAGCCTTATGAAAAAAAAACAGGCCAAGTGCGAGTCGGACTCACGCACCGGGGGTTCCGTACATACTTAATTTAATACCTCTACGGGTTCATGAGACCCTTTCTCATAACTCAGTAACTTTAAAATTTTCAAAAATCTTTTTTATTATATGATGTAACTAAAAATTTACGGTTTTCGCAATTTTTCCTTTATCTGTACTTTAAGACGTTACTTCGTACCAAATTTCAAAATTCTAAGTTCACGAAAAGAACCCTGCAGGTTTTGATTCCCGTGCGAGTTTCGAAAATTTTCGACATCAACGGCTGTATCTTTTGATTGTTTTGGCTTAGAAGTTTGATTTTTTCACAGCTCCAAGGGACAGTAGACATGAATATTAGATATGAATTTTAGTTTGATACCTCCACGCGTTCCTGAGAAAAAAGGTCTTAACAGACGGACGGACGGACGGACAACAAAATGATCCTATAAGGGTTCCGTTTTTCCTTTTGAGGTACGAAACCCTAAAAATGAAAATTTATACTGTTGTTAAATCGAATATCATATCCATCGACGGACGTTTGCTTTGCATTACTAGGATTACAATGATCCAGTAACATCACACAATACCAAATAAAGTAGAACGTGATTCGAATACAATGAGGCGATTTAGCCAGATTTATAATCCTCACGTAGCTTCTGGATAAAGAATTAATTCTGTATGCCGTTTTTGTGAGACGCTTATGTTATATATATCCCTGTTTGGTCTAGTATGTGGGAGATAAAGAGTCTACACTTTTGATAGGAATAAGACAACACGGACTTTTGACGAAACATTAAATTTAATTGAGAATTTAATGAGTGCAGGCGTGAGGTGGGCCCTGGTCTATTGAAATAGACTTTTGTAAAATGATACTTCAAGACATCATAACATATAATAACATAAGAAACTAATAGTATTGTTACGTGTCGGGATGGGATTCGAAATTATTATGCCAGTTCTGGATAAATCTGTTTCCAGTATATTCGTGGCTTTAGTTCCAGTGTTCGTGACAGTATAATATCACTCCCATATTCACGCAACAACATTTAATCATAATCGAATTAATTGACTCAAACCTTTGTTCTAAAAAAATTACGTTGCCAGTGCATTCATCGTCTGCAATGTATCAGAAACTACAGTACAGAGTGAGACAGACTTAATAAAACAATGAGGCGAATGAGATGACAAAAAAACGGTAGCAATGAAGCATACAAATATTATTCACTTTATGAAGCTTTTACAGAAGCGTGGGAGCGAATTTTAATAGAAACTTCCAACAAATTGATCGCATCAATACCAATGCGGTGTCAAGCTATAGCTTCTAAAGGACATGCAAGTAAATATTAAAAACCTTGTTATTTTATTAAATACATTTCAAATTTTATAATCATTAATATGAATTACAGTTTTTGACAACATTGCTGTATTTTTTAATATTTGGTTACCCTATCTTTAATTAGTTGGCCAGTATTAGTTTTTCATTAATTCGGAATGTTTAAACAAAATAA